TAACGTAATATAAAATTTTCCCATTTGTTAAAGGCAAATGCATGTAGATTTTCTAGACTATGATTTTCCAACTTTATGCATTTGTGCCTTAGTATAAATCAATGCACCTACATGCAAGCACAGATTGATAATACATATATTCATGACCCACTAGTCTATGACAGGTAATGAGAAGTAAGAGGCAGAAACGTGATTATTGCAGTATCCAGGAATATGAAGAAGCGGAAACAAGCCCTTTATGACCTTATGGCTCATTTGGCACACACACACACACACACACACACACACACACACACAAACAAAGATGAGCCAATCAAGACAGCAACAAAAGCAGACTAATACTAGGAGCAACACTACTATATACAGGTCTAAAGCAGCTTGTTAGAAAATTTCATTAGTTGAGCTACAAATTATGCAGCAAAATACAAATCACCTTGAGCAATTTGCATGACCACAACCGCATCAAACTGTTTATGTTAATAACACCTTCCACTTCAAGGAGAGTTGCAGTTACTACTTTGTCTGTTGCAAGCCAACTTTCTGCTTCGTTATTCCTCTCCGTATGTGTGTGACCTCTCCCTGAGCTCCTCTCAGAGTGTGCCTGACCTCTGCGCGTCTTTCTCCACCATCAACCGTGGAGGGACTCTGAAAATATCTAATTGTATTCATTCATTTTCTGCGCCTGGCAAGAAGAGACAAAAAGAGAGAGGGAGAAAGGGAAGGAAGGAGAGAGAGAAAGAGACGGAGAGCAGAGAGGCAGCACGGGATCAAGGCAAGGAGGGATATGGGGAAGAAGAAAGGACGAAGGGGGAGCATGGAAGAGAAAGCCATCTCTTCGCTATTACAGCTGAGACATCATTAGAGTCACTGTCTGTCCCTTATTGGAATAAATGCTCGCAAGCAAAGACAGTTAGTGAGATAGCAGAGGGACAGATTCCACAGAGAGAAGTGTTATTTCAAACTAATGGAAGTCTTTCAGATAAAACTGTAGGGTTTCATCCAGGATTTCTCCAAACATCCTCAAAAATGCTAATATTCCAAATTAAATTCTTTTGAGTAACTATCAAAGAGAAAACTAAAAGAGAAAGTTTAGATGTATCACAGAGAGAGAGGGAGATTAAAAGATAAAGGTGCTATTCAGAAAAACAATGCAGTTAGCAAGTTTCTGGTCTCATGCTGCGGCCGTGAGAGACAACGATGGAACCAAGCCAACAAAACGGCAAGGAAACCCCCCTCAGCCTGCACCCAGATCAGGAACAACACAAACACCCGGCAGAAATTACTGTGGCACGGCGAGCACAAATAGCATTTCACAATAATGTGTAATTCAGTTATAATTTCGAATGAGAAAACTTTTGAAGAAAATGCAAACTTCACGGGGAAAAAAAGCAGAACGTTTTATTCCAAACACAAAAACTTCCAATCTGAGGCTCCCGGTTCTACGTTACTGACGGTCTGTAAGCAGGTCTACCGCAGTGTGCTTTGTATATCAGCGAGTGAAACTAAAGCATAGCTCACTGTTTAAACTTTGAGCCCTTTCACTTTTTCCGTTTACATCGACTTCAGACTTTCTCAAATCATTTAGCACGGCATGACACTTGAAATCAGACAAATTCATGTTTACGTTCCTGCGGACAGTTTCAGGCTGATTGATGTTGGACAGAAACAGATGTAGCAAAGTTTACGAGTCAAGCTGTTTCACCTGGCATTTCCATACAGAAGCTTTCTCTAGAAGAATTACTTCTGTGCATTTCAGGTGATTAAGTAAGCAAGCAGAGCACAGCACATTGCGCACACTGATGTGAAACATTCAATTTGGTTAAATGAATTAAAAGCAAAAGAGGTTTTATGACAAAACCCAACTCAAAGAGCAGCGTTAGTGTGATGGATCATATCTCTTGGGCAATTTTCAAGTTCGAGGAAGCTGCAGTTTCACGCGGAGCAAAAAAGGAGTGTCGACAAATGGCTTTTTCTCTAGGTAGTAAAACAAGCCCTGAATGATTGTGGTCAGATACCAGCAACTAAGAATATGAGCTGATTCAAACATAGGGGGAAAAAACATGGAATTAACTCTTCTAATAACATTTCTGATGAATTACATGATGATAGCAGTAAATCAATTGGAAAGTAACGTGCGAATGAGTCTGTTTGTGATCAGGGACGCTGTAAATTCTTTCAGTGTGACTGGAAGCCTCAGAACAAAAGGCAGACGCACACAAGTTCCACTACCATGCCACACCAGCTTTCTACAGTAATGCATGAGGAAAGGGACTCAATATTTATTAACCGAGTCATCAATAACACACATTTGCCATCTCTGCCTCTCTCCTTTTCTTCACTGCTTTTTAACATTACCTTTCTGGCTTCCTGCCTCAGACCTGCAGGGGTGAGAGTCAAACAAACTCTATTTGGAGTAAATAGAACAGAGTGACTGGTGTTAGCATGAAAACCTGTTTTCTTTCCTCGGGCAACAAAGAGCCTCAGAAACAGATGAGATGCAAGAAACTATCCGTTTCTGTGATTTTACAGCGGACTCAAAGACAGTAAAAGTGCAACACGGATCACTACAACCGTATTTTACACTCTCACCGTTTCTTTTTTCCGCGTTCCTATGTCAGATCAAAGATCAAACGTAGATGTACTTATATTTCCATTTTTCTTTAAACCGTACTTTGTTTTTTGTTGTTTCTTTCTTTACTGAAACTTGTCAGCACATCTGGAAGATATCAAGTTAACAGAGCGGCAAGTCAAGTCAAAACTGTTTTGTTGGGGGAAAAAAATGTGCAGACTAATGAAAGTGTGTCTATCAACAGCAGAAATCTTTAACTCAAACTTTAACTTAAAATTGTGTTTGCCTCTACTGAAGAAAGCGCTCCATAAATAAACAGCCAGGGTAAGCTGGAATAGGGACTAAGACCACAGCAGTCACGGTCTACGGTATATCAGGCCGAGAATCTACACACCCCGCTAGACTGGCCCCGACTTCAGGAGAAAGCTTACAGTCAGCCCTCCGTCTGTAACCCTGACCACTAATTGTTTCAAGCAATAAATCATGTTTTCCCAAATTTCAAACTGAACGTAAATAGTTGTACAACAAATTCAGCATATGCTATTAATGGCTTTGTGTTAAGCATTTTATTCAACAAATACTAAGTGCCATTGGCAGCTCAGTGAAATCTCTCTGTAAACTCAACCAGCAGCATTTAGACTTAATAAGCCTGAGACAAGGCTGTACAGTTTAACTCCATAAGGGACTTTTAGTGGGAAATGCTGTCTCAACGAATGTCCACAATGTGCACTGAGGTTAACTCAACGCTGTTGAAGTTTCAGTCTCAAGGACTGCAGCACTTCTCACAAACTTTCATTTTGCTTTGCTGAAGTTGCTGAGTGTGAATGATCTACGTTCTCACTTACAAACTGAGTTTTGGTGAATCTAATTATGTTAAACACATAAGTATCTTTATTTTCCTAAAATAAAAAGTGAAAAGCGCCTCTTTTCACAGTTACGTTAACTGTTCCATTTTTTGACAAGATAGATGTCCTCTAAACTCTAAAGTAACAATTTATCTTCACATCTATGAAAAAAGTAAAAAATAAATAAATAAATTTCAAGAAAAACGTTGTCTCTTTCTGAATAACAAAGAAGAACATTATTTTAAGAAGACAAATTATTGGTTTTCACACTAACCAGCCATCTCTTTACTAAGGCAAATTAAACCTTTCACAGATGACACAGTTAATTAGTATTCTTGTATTTAATTTTAGTAAAACATCTGTTATTAGTTTCTTTAAAAGCTTGAAAAACGCTGCTTAATTTCGACATGCTTCATTTACTGCTTCACTGTAATAAGTCCACACATGCTACAGTTCAATGCTGCACAAATGTAATTTTACAAACTATATTTCACATTGACTGTTAAATGTATGAACTAAAGAAACATTGATACCATTTTGCTTAATTTTCCAGCAACCCTTAAAGGTGATCCGAGAACAAATTTAACAAGGAGCAACTTAAAGAAGAAAAAAATAAAACTTGACCAATTAAAACTCTCAAAACTGGCGATAACGTCACTTCGGATTTAATCTACTGCGTGTTTTTATTATTCAAATGTGAGTTTGACATTTTCTGTCATTTTCTTTTTTTGCTGTGGTTACTCTGTACTTATGAAGCACTCCTTTAGGTATTTTTAGTTGTGTTGATATCGCCGAATGCGTCTAGATTACATTATGGTAACTGTCCTGAAATATGAAAAATTGATTCTTTAATCCTGACTGACATATAGGCTATCTGTGCCTACGATCAGTATCTTAAGTTTCTATATTGTGACGAAGCCATAAATGCCCTGAACGCAAAACGCACAAGCGACATAGAGAAGCCCTCCTCCGTAGTTCACAGGTCTGAGACATTTGGCCTGTTCGTGGCGTTACTCCTATAACTGGAGTTTTCCGAATGAAGCAAACACATGTAATCTAAAAGAGAGGAAATTAATTACCATATTTTGTAGGTAAATGGGCTTTTTGGATTTGTGCTGAGACTAATAAGATACAGGTGTTAATGGCTCCGGTGGGGTCGTGTCAAGCACAGCTTGAGTCCACCGAGGAGTGAAAGAACATAAGATAATGATCCTGATTGTATGGCACAGTCCCTCTGTCTGTAAGAGGGTAAATGGTTACTTTCCTTATCAGGACGATACTGACAGCGGGTAAAGCGAAGGAACATTGGGCTTTACAGGTTATGTCCGGGCCTTGTTACGCACGGTTTTAATCTATAGTTTCTAGGCAGGTACGCTTTTTATGAGCAGCCTCGCGCTGAAAATAAGACAGAGGGTTTTTCCTGTCCTTGGTTGTAGCATTTACCTACAGATGCTGGCATTATGCCCTCACTGCGGAGAATAAATACTGATGTGGTCCGGCAAACCTGAAAAGCCGTCGTTCGTACATAAGAGAAGGAACCTCGCCGTCCCTCCGTAGTTAAACCTGCCTGGTGAGAAGCCACTTACTTGGTGTTGGTTCGGTTCCAGAAGACAGCGTAGCGGTCGGCCACCACTTTGGAGCTTGGCTCCTGGCTAAATACACACATCAACAGCACCAAGCAGACGAAGACAACCATTTCCAATTGCAGCATCACTACAGCAAACTTCGGCACGTATTCCTCTTCAGCGTAGGTTAGTCAGTCAAGTTGCACGGGCGTTTCAACCGGGACAGGTGATGAGTCTCATTCACACGTGTCCGCGTGTTTCTGGCGCAGTTTGTGAATACTAAACAAATACAAATGCGCACAACATAGAAAACGAAGGAAAAACCATTAATGACAGTTCGGATGACACTTCTTCGGGTAGAAGGAAATGTGAAGTTACAAAAGCAACGCGTTTCTCGCTGACGCAGAGAGAAAGTTCAGATGAATCATGAGCTTTATTTGGTGAAGGTTGTCAACTCTAACAAATCCGTATCAAGGTGACAAAATATCTCTCCATCTACTGCACAAACAGTGATCAGCAAATGTAGACACCAATACGCAGCACAACAGGCAGTGTCTTCTGTGGTGTGATCGTGTTCCTGCAGGGAGCTACTGGATGTAGCCTGTATCAGGGCAAATGACAGCTGCTGAACACTTATTCTTTACTCCAAACCGAAAGCGCAGGGGATTAGCCAGCCCAAGATATGATGGAGAAAAAAAGAGAGAGGGGGGAATCAATGTGTCCAATGACGCTGTAAGGCGCACGTCAGATGTCCATGTTTTCCAGGCAACTTTTTAAAGCCATACAGTCAGCCAGTCACTGAGAAATGAATGGGGAAAGCTGGGCACGGTCTTTCGTTTCCAGCGTGAAAAAAATAATGTTATCCTTTCCCGGCGATTTACCGGGTGTGACACGACCGATGCGGGGAGGAGTCCTTCTCGGTGTCAGGGAGGACAGAGTTATGTTTTCTCATGCGCTTCTGTCCGTGGAGGCGCTTGTTTATGGTCGCATCCCAAACTGTCCTCCTCATATATAAGCCATCGTGCGACGTGCAGGCATGAAAAAAATACTGCGTTCTCCCATGAGCGCGCTATGAAGTCTTCCTCTTTTTCTTATGTTTGGGTTTCAAACGCCGGGACACGCAGGAAGGTGAGGGCACAAGCAGGCAGCTTGAGACGCCGAGTGAGAGAGTGGGTTTGGTTACGACGGAGCGGGGGATAGTCCCATTGGTTTGAAATTATTTGAATGGGCGTCTCTCGAACAAAGCCAAGCCCCTCCCCCACCTAAAACCGAGCTAATTCAATTACCGAAAGGTAGAGCTGGAAGGGGACATGGAAAGAGGTGCGCACAGCTGGGACAGTGACCGCTTTTAGATACTCTGTCCACACCACGTTGTCAGCTCCGCTTGATAAGTGCGCTCGGCGCAATTTAATTACATGCAAACGGACGCAGCGGACCAAAGAAGACCATGGGCTCCAGTTACACTCTCATTTCAATTTAAGTTGCGTTTTTTTCTATTAACAAGAGGAAACTCGTAACGAGGTAATGGCCAAGATGTTGACATAACAATACTTTTATACATAAATATATTAGATTTTATAAGGAAAAAGATAATTAATATTAACATGTTATTTTTCTTTGTACTTTCATTGCCCATTATTTTTTTCATCAATCTAATTTAAAAAAATATATTTAATATAATTTTTTATATTGTATTTAATTTTAACTACTTTACCTCCACAAAGGTCAAATCTACAGTTAGAGGAGGAGGGCAGCGACACTTCTCAGCCCTTCTGTGTGATAGCGCAGTGTTGAGAGATGATGACCACGTATTGCCTGTGCAGATGTAGCGGGGCAGCCTGTTGCTGGAGCGGTTCGAGGAGCTGCTCCAGCGCCCAGACGCCCCGCAGTGGCGAGTCGCCGACTCAGCCAAGGACAAATTCAAGCTCGAGTGCGCCAGGGGAAGCGCGTCTGTCGTCGACTTAATCAGACAAATGCTCACAAGGAGGATTTATGAAACTTTAGAAAATAAGCTGTAGGCCTAAACTCAGATGGGACATCCGCAGCGAAAATAATGTGTAATATGAACAGCCTATAGAGGCAAGAGTTATGGGGTGAAATTTCACCGATGTGGCCATTCGGAATGATTTTTAAATAACAGTAATAATATTGAAGACATACTATAAACTTTAAGGACTAAAATCTTTGCCCATCTTGTGTAAATGTAAAAATAAGTGAGATATTAAACAAAGCAGATATGATTTTGAAAGGGAGAGAGCAGGTGGAGGAAGTGGAAAAAGTAGTTCCAGTGAAAACAACAAGCACATTCAAGTTTAAATAAGTGGGATTTAAAATGTAAATCTAGAAAATAACATTTATTAAAATAGGCATGAACAATAAATGTGATCATTACAAAGAGGTAAGTAAAGTTTATAGCTACGTTTTCTGTTGTTTTCATTTTTACATTTTCCACATCTCTAATATCACTGTCAGCAAATAGCTAATATAAACCTATTGATAAAAAAATAGTAAATTCAGATAAAACCTTGCCTGGTTGCCTGGTGCATCAATATCTCTGTTATAAAGTCAAGAAAATCAAGGCATTTCACTCTAAATTCCAAAAATGTCTACTTTATGTGAGTGCAACAGGTGCTGTGTCCCTTTCAGAAAACAGGAGGGGAGGAAAAAAGAGTGGAAAGACAAGAGAAGGGAGGAAAGGGTAAGAGGGCAGCTAATATTTTAAGATAATTCTCTTGACCTGTTCTCTTGGACTAGTGTAAACTAAGGAACACTCACTTACATCTATCAGCGCGCACATGCACACTGGCAGGACACTCACTCTGCAACCACATACAGACATCAGCACCAGACAATCCTGGAAAAATGTTATGACATACACACTTTTTTTTCAAGCCCTTTTTTTTGTAACACGCACACACACAAAGGGAGGACATTATCAGCTACTAGGGAAGGAGGGGTGGGTAGGTCAACCCGGAGGTCACTTAACATGGCTGTTTTCACACCCACTTTACAACCATGACTGCATTCCTCTCCTGCTGTGTCTCATCTCTCTCACGCACACATGCACACATACACACTAGCATCCAAAAAAAGGGGGAAAAAAAGTTGATAACAAGCATGTTTGACTGACTAGCGCACACAGCGTATACCCCCAGCTGCTTTCATTTTCTCTGGCATAGGAACAGAGCTATCTCTCCCCATCCCCTTCTTAACCTGCTGCCACCATCATAGTGGGCTGCGTTGATTACTTCTCACGCAGGCCCATTTTCTCCCTCACCTCCATCCACATGTTCCCGCCGAGCGGTGCAAAGATGGCTTGAACTCTATTTTCAAAAAGCGGGGTTTATTTTCCTATTTGATTGATTAGTGCTGAGGAAAACAATACCATCATAAACAACCAGTGACCAGGTGATGCGTGTGTTCTTTTTAAATGAATGAAAGTTTGCATGCTCATATTTTTTTTACTTGCTGCTAACATCTCATTGTATGTTCTTATTATCCTCCAACGCCCCCTATGAATTGTGTATTTTTACAGAGCAGAGTACTTTCTAATTTTACTGCAGTGTCATGTAATTCTCCCTTTCTT